AGACCTTCAAACTGAACATCAACCGGAACCACCGTGGCTTCAGGAGAGTTATACAGTCTAAAGGCCTGAAGCTGGAAGTGCTGCACAAAGCGTGGGTGTTGCTGTTGGACATAAGCACTGATCCAAAGTCTCCAAATAATCATCATTTTGGAACCTTTACTCTATTGTTTCCTAACAGTACACACTTTTGTTTAAGATTAATTTCTATTGGGTAGACACACAGGTCAGGATAAATATCAACCAGTGCTGCCCTGATTGAACTCTGTGGTAGTTGTGGTGCATGCCAGGTCATTGTGAATAGGTGGATCTGAGCTTCATACTGACTTCTTTGTTTTGTGACAGTGGCTTCCTGAGAAGTGACAAGCCGGTAGGAACAGCCCAGCTCAAACTGGAGAAACTGGAAACTGAAAGCGAAGTGAGAGAGATAGTGGAGGTGAGCGGGGCTGTTTTTCAACAGTATGTGTATAGGAGCCAGAGACGAGAGTGCAAACATCAGCTGTGAAAGCAAACATATATGTGTGTTTAACACATGAACTTGAGCTAAAATGGGACATTCACACCCATTAGCCAGACATCACTATGTTTACATTTGTGTAGGAGATGTATGTTTATGGCATTGGCTTCATTTCTGCACGCAGCTCATGGATGGGCGGAAGGCCACAGGTGGTCGTCTGGAGGTGAGGGTGCGTCTCAGAGAGCCGCTGGGTGGGCAGGACCACCAGACTGTCACAGAACGATGGCTAGTGCTAGAGGAGCCACAGGTTAGTGCTACTGTGGCTGTGTCTAATGAAGGCACGGCTGAATGCTCATGTTTGTTCCTGGTCTGTTAATATTAAAAAGTGAACAGCATCACACTCGCCCAAAATTTGAACATTAAGATGCAGGTAAATATTTAGGGTGATTAACGGTGCATTATACAATTTCATTTAATGACACAGATTAAGAGATGGCCTGCTTAATGTATTTATATTGAAATATTAATAATATTATAAATATTAAAAACACGGTTACACTTTATTTTAAGGTGTCCTTGTTACAGTGTAGTTATACATTTAAGTACTGAGTAATATTATTTAACTGCATGTACTTACTATATAGTTAGGGTTTGGCTTAGGGCTACTTGAATGTAATTATGGATAATTTATTGTTATTATAATAGTAAATACATGTAACAAGGACACCTTAAAATAAAGTGTTATATAAAATAAAGCCTGTGTGTTTAATCGGACCATTTTACAATGATGCATGAAAGATAGGACAGAAATATATTGCTATTAAATATTAACATTCTGATATTTCATTTATTATTATTATTAACAGTAATAATAATAATAATTTATAAATTACTATTATATAATATTCCTGTTTTTTGGGTTTAAAACCCAACAGTGCAAATAAAAAGTCTACAACAACGACTAAAAACAACAACAACAATAAACTGTTGATTTATTATTATAATAATTATTGTTGTTGTTGTTAATATTAACAATAATATATTGCTATTATGTAATATTCCTCTTGGCTAGGTTTCAAAATTCTACAGTGAAAATGACCAAAAACACAAATAATAATAGTTTATTATTTTTAATAATATTAATAATAATACTATTGATATATTAATATTTTATAATATTCCTCTACAGTGTGAATGGAAAATAACCAACATCATAAAATAAGTAAACACAGACAAATAAACAATAATAACTGATATTATTAGTAGTAGTAGTGGTAGTAGTAATGTCATTCTACACCTGTACAATATTTATTCATAATACCTTAAAGAAAATCATACAGAACAGGCATTTATTCACATTGAACGTGGAATAATACAGTAACATGTATGCATTCATCTTAAACAGCAATAGATCTATATGACAATAAACGTCTGACAGTACTTTATGATTTTGGTAGTCATATTTCTTAGTGAAAATAGGGATTTTGTGTGTGAGCGTGTGTCCGTGAGAGTGAGTGAGTGAGCGTGTGTGTGTGTGAGTGAGTGTGTAAATGCCATATTTTGGTTTTGACTGTCATCTGCTGTCTGTATTAGGTACTGCTGTAACTGACACTGATTTCATCTTCACAACGTAAGAAAGTTTGTCCCATTTCTACTGACAGATATATGATCACATTCATGTTACACTTCACCTTACAGATGATTTTTCTTTCAGGTCTTGAGGTCTCAGCGGTTTTATCAGAGTGGATGAAGGTATGGACGATGAAAGCTCAACGGTGCTGCTAGCCTCGGGTACGAACCACGTGAAGGAGATGGTGAGGAACTTGCTCAACAGAGAGACAGTCACTGACAGAGGGAGTTAGCTTTGTCTTTATCAGGGTAAAAGAGGTTGGACCAGGATGTAAGAGTTGGGGTGGTTATTAAAAATACAGGCGATATTAATAGGAGGAGCAGGAAAATGTGCGCAGACTTGCATGAGATTGATATGCCTTTTAAACGGCCCTTTTGAGATAGATTGCCTCTTGATTTTATAATAACACTCACCCCAACTGTTACATTAATGCATTGGAGCTGAAGCCAATGAGAGCTAACCTTTTTTTTTTTTTTTTTACTGCTCTGGGATGCACTTACGCACTAATGCCAAAGTAATCACTGCTGCTGCAGTAAGATGAAAGACTTAATCTGTTCTCCCTCAAACTAGGAACTTGTTCTTGTCATATCTCAAATACTAATGTATGACTGCTATGCAAATGAGTTCTACACGATTAGCTATGCAAAACGGTTTGTGTTTGAATCCCAAACATTTTGTCAGACATTTCAAAACTTGTTTACATCCTATGTGAATTTACTGCTTGATTTATTACGGATAGGCCGTGTCAAAGTACTGCTGTTAAATATTATATTCCTTATAAATACTATTAAAGCCATAAACCAGCTTTTACTAATCTACTGCTCTGGGATGCACTTACGCACTAATGCCAAAGTAATCACTGCTGCTGCAGTAAGATGAAAGACTTAATCTGTTCTCCCTCAAACTAGGAACTTGTTCTTGCCATATCTCAAATACTAATGTATGACTGCTATGCAAATGAGTTCTACACGATTAGCTATGCAAAACGGTTTGTGTTTGAATCCCCAACATTTTGTCAGACATTTCAAAACTTGTTTACATCCTATGTGAATTTACTGCTTGATTTATTACGGATAGGCCGTGTCAAAGTACTGCTGTTAAATATTATATTCCTTATAAATACTATTAAAGCCATAAACCAGCTTTTACTAATCGAACCAGATGTAAATTATTCATTAAACGTTCTGAATAGTCGATTTTTTTTAATGCTTTCTTCAGGAGGTAAATGAGCGAGCTTGCCATGTTTGGGAATGATTGAAAAATTATAATTTTTCCAGTAAATTTAGGCTTCAGTAAGCTTTCCCAGCATTTTGCTGACGATCAGGACTAGAACTGGTGCTGCAATAGTCATATTCAGACTCTCTGAAAAAAGAAGTGCCAGTTTAGTTGACCTTATAAGTTAGCAAAAGTAGATTTTAGAGCTATTCTGCTTTGTTTTGTATATATATATTAAACTTAATATATGAGAGAAGTCTTTTATCACTCTTCTTGCACTTGACGGTTGTTCTGTACTAGGGTTGCTCCTAGTAGGCACTTTAGCCGCATATAGCCAATGTTTACATTGAGGTTTAGTGCGCAGTTAAGTTCAGACACATAAGATGACACCTTTTGATTATATTTGCCATAGCAATGACCTCAGAAATAGCTTAAAGGATTAGCTCACCCAAAAATTAAAATTTGCTGAAAATTTACAGGCCATCCAAGATGTAGATGAGTTTGCTGCTTTATCAGAACAGATTCAGCAATATGTCACTTACTACCAGTGGATCCTCTGCAGTGAATGGGTGCCGTCAGAATGAGAGTGTTCAAAACAGCTGATAAAAAACATCATGATAATCCACACCACTCCAGTCCATCAATTAAAGTCTTATAAAGTTAAAAAGCTGCATGTTTGTAATCAGTCATTTTAACTTTGACTCCATAACTCATAATGCTTCTTCCGGTGAAAATGTCCATCCTCTGTTGTCCCGTCACATCAAAATCCAGTCTGTTTTGGGCTATTTTTGGCGCTTGTAAATGGTGATGCTTGTTCCATGCATATTCCTCTCCTGATTCAGACACTGGGTAAAGCAGTATATTATGGATAGAGTCATCAGATTTTAGCTGGAAGCAATGGTTTGAAGTTAAAAATGTCTTGATGGGCATTTAAGTTTTTTTCAAGATTTTAATTGATGGGCTGGAGTCATGTGAATTACTTGTGGATTATTGTGATGTTTTTATCAGCTGTTTGGACTCTCATTCTGACGGCACCCATTCACTGCAGAGGTTCCATTGGTGAGCAAGTAATGTAATGCAGAATTTTTTCCAAATCTGTTCCAACGAAGAAACAAACTAATCCACATCTCAGATGGTATAAGTAAATTTTCAGCAATTTTTCATTTTTGGGTGAGCTATTCCTTTAACTTTGCGAGTCTAAAAATACCTCAGTTTTGCCCCATTTATATTTTGGGGTCTGTTGGATTACAGCTTGTGAAAAATTGACATTTGGCTTTTAAGCATGGACAATGTACAATCTAGATCCATCAGCTTAGTTCTTACTCTGTCCTTTTCATTTCAGTTTCATTTCCAGTCTCGGATCGAGCTTTGTCCTAGTTTAAACTGTACTGTCAGTGTTGATTCTTCATTAAATGGTTTTTAAATCCACCACGAGGCTTATTCTGAAAAACGTGGCTCTCACTTGTCTCATGTTACATATAGCATGTTTCAGTTTTTTCGTTCTACTCTTTCCCTCAAGAGTCAGCCATGTCATTTATTTTCATTTTACACCAAGTTTATTGAAACTGTTTTGTTATTAAATGAGAAAAACAAAGCTCTGCAGTTCCTGACTTTTCTTGATTAGCTGAAATGGATTTTATTTTGCTTTTAATGGAGACTATTAATATAAAAATGTACAAAAATGACATTTTGTATATTCAACAGGTTTGATAAAGACTGCTTTTATTGACATTTGTAGTGTACAATAAAGAAAGGTTGCATTTTTCCCTTTTCTTTTTGGCTTTTCATACATTGCAAATGTATTCCCATTCCACCCATGTCAGGTTTTAACAGTGTTTCATCACAGATCAAATCAATAGTATGTAAAACTGTTCTTTCAAGCAGCTCGTCCTCTGAAATGCAAAGATTTTCTGAGAACTACACGTTCTCATTGGTTTCAGCATGCATGCTGTATCACGATTTGGGCCGGCCAAAAAAAAACAAACAATTACATGGAAAAATGCTATGGTTAACAAAATATAGAAATGTCGAGATATACATTAATGCACATCTAGAAAACCAATGACAAAGGTGGATACAGGGAGTAACTAAAGGCTGTTTTGAGCTGTGTTAGTGGGAAGACAATGCAGCTTCCATTTTTCATGAACAGTGCTTCCAAAGCTGTCTGTGCTCTTCACCAAAAGCCAGAAACACATGCTTTATGTCTCAACTGTTGACCTGTTAATAAAGGGCTGTGAGGTTCACTTGCTGTGGATCTTCATATCAGCTGCTGTCCTCATTCATCAAGTGTAGGCCATCTGATGAAACCAACCATATCTGTCATGCAAAACAAGACAATGTTATCATCCCACCTTTACTTTGTTATCCGACTAAAGATTAACTAATTTGATTGTCAAGATACTTCAGATGAAGTCATTTTAATAACACCTAGTTAGCTTGTTAAAAGAGGGCTGGTTAAAAACACTGCAGTCACAGTGTCTTTCTATCAGTTTAGATGTGATTGACAATCCAGACCTTTGAAATATGTCTTGATGATGAACATAGCTTATGAATTTAAGGCAAATGCCCTTTTCTCTTAAAATGTGATCCACAGTGACATCCTGAATTATAAGAGCTCCTTATATTGGTAGTTTATAGTTTTGGAAGAGTTCCAAAATGAGCTGGCTAACTAGTAGTAATCAGCTTTCTCCATGCCAGTGAAAAATCAATACAAAAATATGATTAAAATAATATCCTGCTTATGAAGTGAGTGATCTCAAGGATTCTTTTATCTGATATCACATCAGTAAAAGATATATCAACCTGAATTAGGGAATCTAAAGCAGGGCTCCAGACTAACAAACATGACTAGCAAAACGAAATGTTTAGAAGCTAAATGTGTTTTTAAAATTACTGAACCAATAAACATAGCAGTTCAATAAATGTTTGCTAAACGGTGTTCAATGACTGAATCGGATTAAACATGCCAACTCACAAATCCATTTGACACGCATTAAAAAATTAACGCGTGGTTAAAAAAAACAAAACATTTTTTATACATTTAAAATTTTTCCCCTTCCTCATGTACATTAAAGGGCTTCATATGAAACCATTAGCGGACACACAAAAACACTTTCCTGACAATATTATCAATAACTGCCACAAATGTGTATTTTGTCGCATTTGCAACTATTCCAGAAGCAGTCTGAAGCCCTGCTAAAGCATATAATATCTATAAAAGGACATAAAACATGTAAAGGTATGATCACATTTACAGTTCTTCAGCAAATTTTCACAGGCAAAATCCAGTCATTTAAATAGGAATCCACGCAATCATGAATTTTGTGCGACGCCATATTTCACAACAGAACCTGTTGACCAACATAAAGTTGCTTGGTTTCAAAGTGCTTTCTATGTGAGCTGTGCTTCACACATCGAACACTACAGACAACAGACAATGTTTCGCTAATGTAACCGCACCTTAAAGGGTTAGTTCACCCAAAAATGAAAATTCTGTCATTAATTACTCACCCTCATGTTGTTCCAAACCTGTAAGACCTTCGTTCATCTTCGTAACACAAATCAAGATATTTTTGATGAATTCCGAGAGATCTCTGGCCCTCCCATAGACAGCAAGGGTCCTAACACAATCAAGGCTCAGAAACGTAGCAAGGACTAGGGCTGTCAAAATGGATGAAAAACTAAATTCGAATTTTGTACTTAAATATTATCAATATTCGAATTATATTCAAATTTAAAAGGCATAATTTCAGTTAGGGGGGAAAAAGCTTTTGGCTTCTCTCCTGAGGCCACAAGAGGGCGCATCAAGCAAAATATTATGCACGTTTCTTCAAAGCATAATAAAATAACATGACTATCTTTGAAAAAAAGTGCATAATGTTTAAAATAATGTTTTTAAACCTTATATAATTAAAGTTGCTTAAACAATTAGAAACAAAACAGAATCATGCATGTATAGTTTAATACAAAGGACAAAAAAACAATCACAAAGAGTACTTTCTTCATTTAAAAACTTGAGATGCAGTAGGATGCGGAAAAACCGCCATAAAGTCTTGAGACATGTTTTTAAACAGTTGAACTTGCATAAATTTTACATGGCTTTCTAAACATGCCGCTCCCTTGTGCGAGACGTGAGTGCAATGGTGATAGATGTCCCTCTAGAAAATGTGATAAATATCCGCATCTAGTGGGTTCAACTGGATAGACTAACAAAAACATTCAAATGCAATGACACTTACATCGTCGTCGCATTTCGTGCGCCCCTGATAAGGCTGCCTGACGCACACCTAAAATTC